GATCAGTGCTGCTATCCCTTTGCTTTCTTCCACAAAAGTTACTAGTTTATCTCCTCTCCTCTCAGTTCCTTGCTCCACTGGACAGGCAACAGAGTAAAGAAAACTTACTGTTCCCTGAGATCTGTCTTTGACATCATACACGGAGAGTTTGATTTGTGTCATCTGATTGATAAGAGAGTCTTGGAAAAAGGCAATGCTGCTTAGAAAGATAGGATTGCTTGTTCCCTGCAATCATAAACAAACAGCCAACGATTAATGTCAGGTGATATTTGTTAGGAAGAAATGCTTCCTGTGTTGGTTTCAATTTTACCTCCACACTTACCTCAATGATTTCTGTCTGTGCATGCTTTGTCCAGAATGCCTGGGGAGGTGTAGTGACACTCACTGCTACAAAACTATTTGGTTTTCGATCTAGCGACGGAGTTAGCAGTTCACTGCAAGCTTTGGGTATGCAACAGATAAACACATTTAGATCTCTTTCATGTTGCTGGAAGTCTCTACATTTTTATAACAGCATATCCTATACCCTGAGCAATAAAGCCACGAAGGGCTCAACATTCATCCTACCACCACACTGTAAACGCAGACGTCGCTCACTTCTGTGCATGCAAACAGGAAACGTGTCCTGTTTTGTCTCCAAGCTCTAGAGCTGCAGTTTCAATTTGTCCTCTCCTAATACCTGCCTACCCACCCCCCTGGCACAGCTCATTATACTGACACACACACAGGTTTTCCTCAGGGAATCTCATCAGCTTGGCTGCATTTGATTGGAACTCATGCTCCATTAAGCCCATTACCAAATGGTATTTGCCCATGGAGAACCAACAGAAGGGCCTGAATGTTGGTCAAGCAGCACCACTATGAGGAGAACTAGCTTGTCATTATTAAATGACAGCAATTTATCTCCTCTAAAATGTTAGCGTGAGTTTAACTGCTGGGAAGGGATTATGGTGAGTAGGTGAGTAGGAAACAACTACCAAAAATTTCAGTGAGAGACTCTACACAATTACATTGAACTTCAGAGCCAAATTCTAGCTAGCTAGCTACAGATGACTATAGTGTGGTCAAACTCTGCTTCAGTAACTACCAAAAATTTCATTGAACTTCAGAGACAAATTCTAGCTAGCTAGATACAGATAACTATAGTGTGGTCAAACTCTGCTTCAGATACAAACAGAAAGTCAATTCTGAAATTTATACAATTTTAAATGTACACTAAACAGCTTTCAAGTCCTAGATGTTTTTAATTTTATCTGAAGATATTTAAAGCACTTTATTCAGTTCAGAGAGTTCTTGTTAAGATAATTATCCATAACACAATTACATATATCTGAGAAAATTTTCTGATTTTTTTCATTTCAGACATACTCTTGAAAGCATAACCTTCCAAATGGTGAGACACTGGCCCAGGTTGCCAAGAGCACAACCTTCCAAATGGTGAGACACTGGCACAGGTTGCTCAGGGAGGCAGTAGATGCCCCAACCCTGGCAGTGTTCACAGCCAGGTTGGATGAGCCTTGAGCAACCTGCTCTGCTGGGAGATGTCCCTGCCCAGGGCAGGGGTTGGGACTGGATGATCTGTAAGTTCCATTCCAACCCCTAAAATTCTATGATTCTATGAAATATTAGTCAACTATTAAGCCAAGAAAACCTTGCTGCAGTTGACAATGTGGACTGAATTTTCATGCAGAAAATATTGTTCACTTATTCTTCAAGCAAGGTGAGTCAATGCACAAGTTCTTGTCCAAATTTAATCATCTCAGAATTTAGGTTACTTCTGCATCTCACATTATCACTTGGCAGCAAAGACCATAGGAAAGAAGGAATGTGCAATAGCTGGTAATTCTTAGAACACATTCTGCCCTAAAGTGGTGTTTTCAGCAACTCTTTAGTTTGCTTAAAGACCTGAACTGCTGATATACTGACACTGCAGGCAGTTTCACTGTATCTTCACATAACAAAATAAACTTTTAATGATAACATTCACATTGTAAACATCTAAAATTTTATCAGGCAGATGTTTTAATTACAGGCTTTTAAAAACATCATAAAATCAAACTTCTGGCTGCTTATCAATAGATACTGTACATGCAGCATGAAAATTGTAGCACATCCCCATAAAAATCAAAGTTGTAATACTGACTGTATGAAAGGCACTTCAAAATCAACAATTGCACACACACTCAATAGCAAGTATCATCAAAACTAGGATAAAAGTCACTAAGCCTACCTAAACTGAACTCTAAAATCGGCTCATCTGGATCCTGAATGTTTCCTGTAAATCAGAAAAATTAACATAAGATTAGCCCAATATCACTGTCATGTGAATTCTTTCCTGAAGCTGCAGTCACACAGAGAAAGAAATTAAATTTTATAGAACAATAAAAAGATTTATAATTCAATGAGCCATGACTGGTATCTAAAACAGTTATTCACAAATCCTTGGTATCTAAAAATGCTTTGAAAAACCTGAGATGGTTTTATTTTATAAAACATGTCAAAGTATGTAAAACTATGTAAGATTATATGGGAATATAAAATGGGTAATCTCAGTAGAAAACAACAGGATTAAAGCCACTTAAGTGTCTGAGCCACTGTTAACTCTGAATCGTTCAATCAGATATGTTTCCTCTATAATAGCAAATAAGGAGAAGTTTGAAGGTACCTGTGTCTCTCACTAATGAAAGAAAGTCTCTGGGGTTTACAGTCCTAATTTACTCACTGTAAAATATAAGGGAGATAAATCTCAGCTCCCTGAACTCTCCTGAAAACTCTATACAATGTCAAAAAAGGAGGTTGCCAAGACTCTTCCTAGACCTTGACATTATTTTGTTGTTTTCTCCCTGTTGCTTATTTTAGACCGATAAGCATAAACTGCACGAAATCTACTTTAATTTCTTTTTTCTTAATCCCCTCTCCCATCTTAGAGTTTTGCTTATTTTAGAAAACGATAAGTTCACGATTTGTTCTAATTCCTCTATCTCATTCCCTCCAGATAACAGAGACATCTAAATCTTCTAGCGATTCAAAGGGAAAACAACAAGAAAATCCAAGGAAGAGCCTGAGAGGAGCAGCAGCAGAGGCAGAGCTGGCACAAAGGCACATACCTGTGAGGGACAGGCCGAGCATGTCGGAGGTGACGTCGATGGTGGAGGCGCGTTGAACGCCGCGGGACTTGGCGCCATGGCGAGGACTGTGTTCTCTTGCTGTCATTTTCTCATGAAGAGCCCTTCTTTTCTCCCTGCTTGGCTTTGCTGATGTTTGGCTCACAGAGCAGCAGAGAGCAGCAGGTTGTCTCCTATTGCTATGCCTCTGACATTACCACGCTAGACAACAGAGAGAGCAAAAACACGCGCTAAAATTTTAGGCCACTCTCAGCTATTGTTCTTTCCCACAGAGGCAAAACTACTGCCTCAGGTCATCCAAACAAAATGCTCAAGGCAGCTCCAATGCATGAACTGTACATCTGCAGCATTTTACAGCAAGTTGTTGCAAACTGTACCACGGGCAAGAAAGGCTCTTCTGTCAGAGAATGGGGGTTGAGACTCGTTAACAGACCAGCTGCTCTTCTCCTTTGTCTAAGTTATTAAACCATCCTTAATGAAGTTTCCCGGTTTTGATAATCCCTGGGGAGCACAAGTAAATTCATCAGATGGGGCCTCTGTCTGCAGAGGTAGGACAAGGGATAAGGACAAAGGGACAACGGGTTTGCAGAGAGCAGAACAAAAGGGCAGGAAATGTTGTTAGTGTCAGCACACTGTGTTGTTCTAGGCTCTACTGCCATGCGAAAGGGATAATGAAAACTATAAATAAAACCTACTGGGCCAGAGAGAGGTTGAAATTCTGGGATGGTGGTGGAAAGAAAAAGCAAAAGGGGATGCCTGCTGATGTGGCATATGGCAACTTCTGTGCTTTTCCTTCTCCCTACACTTTATTGGTCTACAGACATCCATGGCAGTTGCTCTTCCCCTCACAATGCCTATGAAGTGAAGCATTAGAGCAGGAAAGAAACACACAGCCTACAGAAAAATTGGTTACAGTTTAAAATGTGGTGGTTTTGGCTTGGCTGATAAACTTGGATGCTTCCTCCATCAGCCGTGTTAGCTCTGGAGTTATGGAACTTTTGTATTCGTTTCATACTATTAAGACAACATCCATTAGTTTAGGAAGTGAGATTAGAAGCTGAAAAACCTGAAAGGTAGTAATACAGTGACTAATAGGCTCACAGCAGCCCCTTGTTCATTTTACAAAACTTTTGAACCATGCTGCAAAATGGGAGAATATTTCCTTTCCTTTCATGTTGATGGACCTAACAATGAGCAACCTGCATTCTAATTAAACAAAGCACCTAGTTAATACTGGTGTTTTAAATAGGCATTTTAAACCTGTCTGAAGGCCTCCAAAGGAACATTGAACCTTTCAATTGAACTAGTCATCATCTCCCTCTGGAGGATTTCAAAAGAATCTGCCTCTCTCCACGGGGAACTCAAACATCTTCTTAACTGGCACTGCTTCACTGGACATCTAGAATTCAAAGGCAAGTTAAGCATCTATGACAATTGAATTGAACACAACCCTGGCCATCTACATCAGCTTAGCAATGAGATTCTAAATGAGGAGCTCATTCTAGGGAGGAAGGAATGTGGACTGTGTCTACCAGATGGGCGAGTGCTAAGGAAATTTTCAACACCAGTCTGTTGCCACTCAGAGCTAGTAATTCAATTCAACTCCAGTTTATATAATATAGTGTCATAAGCCAATACCAAATAAGAAAAAAAAATGGAATTCTGAAGTGGAAAAAGCAGAAATTGAGAGCTCTGAACATCCCATCCCCAAAAGCTTTGAAACTCAGTGGCAACATAAAAAATAACACTCTTCTTATGGATATCATTTTTGACAGCCAAAAATAAAACAGGCAGTTTATCAATTCATATGGAACCACAGAATACTTGAGGTTGGATAAATTCTGGAGTTCATCTAATCCAACTCTGCTCAAAAAGCAGTGTCACCTAGAGGAAGTTGCTCAGGACTGTGCCCAGTTGGTTTTGGATAAGAATAGACCTCTCTGGCCAACTTGGTTATTCCCTGGTTTGATCACACACAGTAAAAAAAAGCTTTTTTAAAATTTATTTATGTTTGAGTGGTCAAGTACCTAGTAAATTACCAGTCTCTAGCAAATCATAGAACCATCAAGGTTGGAGGAGACCTCTTAAGATCATCCAGTCCAACCATTAACCTGTCACTGCTGGAACCCCTAAACCCTAAACCAGATCCTCCAGTGTCAGATCCAGACACCTCTGAAACACTTCCAGGGATAGTGACTGCACCACCTCCCTGGGCAATCTATTCCAGAGCCTGAACACCCTCACAGGGAAAAAATTTCCTAATATCTAAATAGTACTGATCCTAATTGAATGACCAAATAGGTCTAATCAAACTTCCATCAAAATCCTTTGCCAGTTTCCAAGTCTTTCCATTCTCCTAATTTCTTTCCCTTCTTTCAGCAATAGGTTTTCCTTGGTTTGTTCTTTATGTAATGTGATGTTTAATGATCTGTAAGTCCATTAAACCTAATTGCCTGATGAAACATCTACAAAATGTGCTTGCAGAGGTTTAGACAGGATGCCACAGCCCCTTCCCCCCAAACCTACAAATAGCTATTAGAGAATAACTAACATGTTCACACAGGTACAGGTCAGAGAGCAGTTAGGTTAGAGCCTGGCTGTTTTTCAGCTAAAATCTCTAGACATCCTTATAAAAGGTCAATACTTAACAGTTAAAATAAGGTCAGGTGTTTAATTTGTTTTGAAGCTATTTCTATTTAAAGATTACTGAGCACAGTAATTTTCCAAGGCTAAGTTCTCAACTATTCACTTAAACCACAATATTAATTTCTCACCTAATGATGCATTTTCAATTTACTTACAGAGGTCATACTTACAGAGGGCTCTTCTCCTCATGTGTGGAGGGATTTTGTATATCGCAACATCAGTTAAATCCACATCTAAGAAAAATAACAAAACAATCAGCATAAGTTATCAATCTTTTTGTACTGCACAAATCACAACCAATGGGCAGGTACAATTCTCAGATTAACTGGTAATTTAAGTTCTGATTACCAGCAGTCACAATAAAGTTGCTGAGAACAGAAAACCAGTATGATTCCCTACTGGACCTCACCCATCACTAGTCATAGCATAGACAGAGATGGGGCACAAAGAAATAAGTTTATGCTGACAAGGACTGACTTCAGGTCAGCATTTGATGAGTGGGAAGAATAGCTGTAAGAAACAGATGTTAACATGTTTACTGAAAGGTTTGGAGCTATTATGAGAAGGAGTTTATATGACGAGCGTGAGACAACATTTGTTACTGCACTTGGTTTTCTACACTTCAACTTTCAAATTTTTGTTCTTTGGAAGAGTTATAAACACCACTGTCAGGAGAAAAGATTCTGTGTCAAAACATGGAAGTTCCAAAGAACAGGATGTAGGGCTCTTGTTCCACTGGGTGAAATTACAGTGCAAGGTAAGGCTTCCATGAACACTGGAAAAGTGAATCATTTTAAAATTTACTACAGGCTAACTGAAGGTTTGTATTTGCTTGTGCTACCATCTCATCCAAGAACATTTGCATTAACAGGATATGTCTTTTCAGACCTCCCATCTATGTCATACTACAATAAAGGAGATGGGGAAGTCCAGTCTAAACTTCTTGATTTAATCACCAGCCCTACCAATCACCCAAGTCTGCTTAAGAACTTGGTATGAGCTCTTACCACTCATGGAAAGGATTTTCTCTCATCTAAACTCCACAGGAGGCAGGTATCTGATCTCAACTCCCTGCCCAGGGTCTCTATATAGTCAGTTGTGAGACACAGGCACTTCCAGAGAATGAGTCACCATTTTCCAAGGTAGGTGGGATGAGTCACCTCATGAAGATACCTCTAAATCTCTAATTATAGAAGGAATTTAGATGAGTAGCTTAGGCCTGATGCTGCAGCTGGGCAAACTGGATTCCTCCCCCAGTTGTGCTAGCTCAGGCAGGGCTGACTTTCCTCTGCTCACTGCATAGCCTGAAAGGCCCAAACAACAGGAGCTCTGATCACTAGATTGAATTACAACCATTTCAACATGATCATGTTTTTGATAAAAATCAATGGAGGTAGGGCTTCTACCAAATTAAAGGCAGGATGAACACACCAGATAGTTTTCTTAGATAATACCTGTTCTTAAATGGATCCAATGATCCCAAAGGGTGATGCAATTCATGACCAGGCAAACTATCCTGAAGGTGGCACGATGTATCTACAGGTAGGTTTGGGGCTTTGCCCTTTTTAATACTGCAGAGGATGTTGGCAACATGTGCAGCTTTGCACTTCATGAGGTTTCACTACAAGCCCATTCTCCAACAGAAGTATGAGAAGCTGTAGTTGACCTCCAATACCTGTAATGACCATTTCTACAGTTCAGAAAAGGCTCCTCCACAAGCCTCCCTTGTGCTATGTGAATATTCATTTGGTGCTCTATATGCACAAAAGGACATGAGTTTCCATAGACTGATACCACTCCTGCAGCCAATGATCCCAAAGGGTGATGCAATTCATGACCAGGCAAACTAACCTGAAGGTGGCACGATGCATCTACAGGTAGGTTTGGGGCTTTGCCCTTTTTAATACTGCAGAGGATGTTGGCAACATGTGCAGCTTTGCACTTCATGAGGTTTCACTACAAGCCCATTCTCCAACAGAAGTATGAGAAGCTGTAGTTGACCTCCAATACCTGTAATGACCATTTCTACAGCTCAGAAAAGGCTCCTCCACAAGCCTCCCTTGTGCTATGTGAATATTCATTTGGTGCTCTATATGCACAAAAGGACATGACCAGGAGAAAAGGTCTTCAAAAGATGTCACTTCTACCCTGCTGCCTTCAGACCAGTTGGCAGTGGGAAGCAAATATCACTCTGCTCAGGTGCATGGCCATGTGTCCTGTGGGATTTGGAACATTTGGTCTCAGACTGAGTGCTTGCAAGATCTCAAGCAAAAACAGTGATGAGCTCAGCCCCAGGATAAATCCCTGATGACTAGCTTGCACAAGTACAAGCTAGTGTTCTCCTTAGCTCACCAATTGTTTTGGAAAAGTGCTTTGGTCTGTTCCCTTCTTGGGGAAAAAAAAATAATCTCAGGTGTGATCAAACCTTCTTTCAGCCAAAAAAAAAAATCTCCTACGTAAATACCCCTTGAAACAAACATGTGTCAGGTGTGATCAAACCTTCTTTCAGCCTAACATCTGCTTCCTCAACAGTCCTTACACAACTGTAAGAAACAGGATTTTTCCTACTCACACATCAATAATCAGGAGAAAGAGGATACTCCAATTATTGACTAAATCAAAGTCTACTCTCAGAGTGTACTTTTCCACAGCAATAGTGGTCTGGGCTTATGGCATTTGATCAGGTAAAGAGGCAGGTCAGAAGCAGAAAATGGAAGAGCAGTGGAAGATTAAATGTTATTGATATGTCTGCATGAAGAGAACAATAGAGAAAAAGGGAGAGTCTGTCAGTTCCCCTAATGCATTTAAAAAAAAAAGGGATGCAATTCTATCAAAAGTTTACTATCATCTCCAAGAAGGAGTGAAAAAGTTGTTGTGAGGTACTTACTGAACTGAAATTAGTTTTATCAGTCTCTGGACTTGCCAGACTGTAAGGTCCATTCCCTGAACCTGACAAATTAGTGCTCCTGTTCCTGAACAATACATTTAGAAATGTCAAGAGGACTCCTTCAGGCTACTGCATTCTTCAAAAAACATCTTAGTAAACGTTTCTCTGGTAGAAAATGTATAAGCAAGATGCAAAAAAGTAAAAGTAAATCCTGCCTGAACCAGTGTTCTGGATCTGGAGTCCCTCTGGAGATGGACTCCTTATCAGGAACTACAATGGTAGAACAAGGGGTAACAGGCTGAAATTGAAGGAGGGCAAATTTAGGCTGGATATTAGGAAAATGTGTTTCCCTGTGAGGGTGGTGAGACACTGTCCCAGGTTGCCCAGGGAGGCTGTGGCTGCCCCAACCCTGGCAGTGTTCACAGCCAGGTTGGATGAGCTTTGAGCAACCTCATCTAGTGAGGAGATGACCATGTCCATGGCAGGGGTTGGGACTAGATGATCTCTAAGGTCCATTCCAACCCTTAAAATTCTATGATTCTATGATCTGCAACATGGGCTGGTTTCCAACTAACATCCTATTAACTGTGTCATTATGGACAAAACAATGGAAAGGATGAAATGTCAGACCATGCTAAGTTATGGCTATGCTGCCTTTCATGTCACTGCACCATCTCTAGTATACAGGGGGTTTTAGTATTTATTTATTACCTCCAGTGGCAGAAAACTTTTGTAGTGAAACAAGATTTGCCATGTTGTCTCAAACCCAATCCTTCAACAATTCCACCATCCCACCTCCAACAGCTGTTACAAAGAAGATGCAAGGAACTTGCTTAACCACACAAGGAGCTGAGGTGAAGGTCTGGACCAACCCTATCACTAGTGGTTGCAGAGGCAGCCCAAGAGCAGAATGTCAGCTCAAAGCACAGCAGCTCCCGGTAAACGTTTGCCAAGACCCATGCCAATTAAGAGCATTTTTTTTAAAATACAGTCTAACATGCACTTTGCTATTCTGTCTCATTTAATGAGAGACTCAATGTCCTAAATCTCACACAGATCACAACAGAAAATGTCAAAGCCATGAGCCTGGCACCCTGAGTCAGATTCTTCCTTCCAGCCAAACTCAGAGGTGGCAACACAGACCATGCCTGATGCAGATCCACAGGTTGACAGCAGAGTTTCAGTCCACTCCATGATCCCCTTACCATGCCCCTTGGGAAGGCAAAAGACAGCAAGTGATGCCAGCATCCAATATTGCCCCTTGCCCCCCACTGACATTACTTCCCCACCACAAACACACTCAGCAGGTGCTAGTTTGTCAGTTCCAGAGTGGCTTTATTTCCCCCTCTCAGTCTATGTCTTATGTGGAAGTTCCCCTCACAAACTGGTTGGATGTCTCCCTCTCCCACTCACCAGAATCTTCATTACCAAGGACAAAAATATTAGGTTTTGCCTGAAGAATCTTCTTGTCACTCTCTGAAGCTCTCCTGAGGATTCTGGGCAAATGGGTGACCTCAGCAAGAACAGGGAAAAGTCTTCCAGAAGAAAATAAACTACTGCAAGATACAATAAATGTACTTTTGCAGTGTGGAAATCCCCAACTTTTCAGTGATATTTCGATTAAAGGACATTTCAGCACCAGAAGTAGCTTTCTTTCCCTTTGCTTTCCTGTCCACAGATCCCACTCACTTACAAATATGTAAGTCACAAAACTTCCTTCTTGATCCTTCCCCACTATGAACTTTGGCAAACCCAATTAATCTAAAAACCTAATTTTACCTCATTAATATATTTGAGTACTTATTATAGAAAACTGCAATTTAGGCCACTTAGTTCTTTGTGCAAATGAAGACTGTTTGTCTATATTCACAACTTAAATACAATTTGCATTGTTCTTAAGGAGAAACTTTTCATTTCACTTGTCATCAAAACATTTCTATCTCTTCATGTGCTCTTCCATGCACAAAAAATATTCACACCCAGAGGTGGAAGAGAGCACTGGTAACACCCATGTCTGCTAACTGGAAAAGGAAAAAGCAGAGCTCTGTTTCACTTTGCAGAACAGCCCTGACCAAACTGAGCACAGCACAGTGCCATGGAAAATGAGGAGTTTGCTACAGGCCAGTTTGAAGTCCAACCCTCTCAGCCTTCTCCATCATTTTACCAGCAGAAACCGAAACAGCTTACAAATGGTCTTTACCCTGAATTAACCTTTACCTCCTCACAAGAAACATGCTGAGTACATTGTGGTGAAGTTTCCTGTGCATGCGATGACTTCTCATGTCCTGCAGTTCTCACACTGTGTCTACAGACATGGCAAAGCCCATGAC